CGGGATGCGCTGCGGGGTCCCTGCGGGATGCCGCGTTAACCTGCCGTGTCCTTTGTGCCCCAGGTGCTGCTGCTTCTTTAAGAGGAAACGGAAGAAGACGGCTCAGCGTCACAAGTGACCGGTGCCTCCTGGGCCGTGCAGGAACCACCTCGCCTGCAGCTCCTGCCCTGTCTCACTGGAAGGGGCTTCTCTTTAGGGGGAAGGAGGAGGAGGCTGAGAAGGAAGAGAGAAAAACGTAAAAAAAAAAAAAAAAAAAAAAAAAAAAAAAGAAAAAAGTGACTTTTTAAACCAAAAAGAGAAGAAAACGTTCCAAAACAAACCACTCTGGGGTGGATCTGCTGAATGGTCTCCCTCGTTCGCTCCAAGCCTGAAGCTCCTTTTGGGACCAGGACTGTGGCTGGCTCAGGTCTTGGTCGCCCTGGGAGGGGGGCTGGCTGGCTGACCCTCCTTCCCGTTGTTTACGGCGAAGGCATCGTTCACGCAAACCTGAGGACTGTGCTTAGTTCCTGCTCACTTTCCTCCCTCCCTCCCCTGCACCCTCTGCTCCTCTGTCCTCCTCCCTCCTTAATCCAGCGAAGAAATACCGTAGGCTGTTGAGAGGGCAGGAGGATGCAGAGGGAGAAGGGCCTGACTGCTGCAGCAGTGAGAGACAGGTTCCCTTTTGGCCTCCTTGGGAACAGTTACACTGTAATGTGCAAGCTGTGAGAAATTTGCAATCTACTGTTCCAGTTAGGGTTTTTGTTTGCGGCTCCCTTGACACCTCCCTCCTCTGACGGTAACAGAGCAACGTGGATTGTTTTAAAGAAGCTGACGTCATTGCACTTTTTATTATGTTTAGCATTTACAGATGCACATTGTATCTGTGGATCCCTGCGCGGCGCCGGCGCAGACAGACATTCAGCGGGGAAGACGGAGGGGTGCAAAGGAAGCCCTCGAGTGGGGATGTCGATGACATCCGCATGACCCTCGTGCCAGTCTGGGGTTCCCGACGCCTGCCTTGGGGCCTGGAAAGCATACTTGAATTTTCAGTCACCCTTCCTCACTGCCGGTGAATGTCCCTACCATGGTTTCCTACACCCGACTGCCTGGGAGACGCAAGGCTATAGCCTAGCGTTGGCAGAAGGGAGCAGCATTGGCTTTGCTGAGCTGGAGGAGTTTGCTCTTGCTTAAGAGGTAGAGCTGGATTAAGGTGACTGGGAGGGAGCCGCTTCCCAAAGCATAGATGTTTCCCAGTGTGGGTAACTGGGCAGCCTCCTCGGACCCCTCTGGCAGGGGGGTTGTGAACACATACCTTCCGTGGGAAAACATTAGCAGGAGCAAAGCTTCCCCGGCAGGGAAAGGACACTTCATGCCTTAACACTGATTTCATCTCCAGATGGTCAGATAGGTTTGACTGGAAACGCCTTCATGTCCTCCCTGCATGCGTATGTCTGGGGCCTGTGGGAGGCCATCCAACCCCATAGAAGCCATGGTTCTCATGCACCACTTTGGAGCCAAACCAGTAGCTAGCAAAGGGCTCAGGGCTTCGTACACATTTCATCTTGCATCCTGCTGCAGCTGAGGCTGCCTGGGGGGGGGGGGGGGTGTTACCACAGACATAGCGGGGCTGTGAGAGAACTTGAGCAGCTCTTGGGAAGGTTGTGAATAGGTTCCTTGTACTTTGTCTTTCCACGTGTGGCACCTGACCGGGCTGCAGCTGCTCACTGGAGGGACTCCGTCTTAAACTTGGCCCTGGCTCATCCCCAAAGTCCTAGAGAGCGTGAAGGGAGGAAAGGGAGAGACTAGATCTCATTATCTTTTACTGGTTTTAATGATGATCTGCGTATCTTGCAGTTCATGGAGCAGCACTCCCAGGAGGTTTGGTTCCCATGGGTGGACAGAAGCAGGCTTAGAGGGCAGGAGGTCATCCTGGGCTTGCTCTTCGTGCATCCCTGAAGCAGGTAGACACTGGTATGGTGCTGGGGCAGAAAAGCCTCCTTGGCAGGATCCCCTTAGGGCATCTCTTCACCATTCCCTACTGAGTCCTCTCCATGCCTTATCCCAACGAGTGCAGCTCAGACGCACGGAGCCCTTTGCCCATGCACCCACCAGGAGACATGAACGTTCCCACTCTGCAAAGCGCTTTCCTCAGGCCACAGCCAGGGTAGGAAGGGCACTGCTCACAGCCTGCAGGCGCTTCGCGCCCCGTCCCCTCCTGCCAGCGAGAGTACAGGACCGTGGCCACGTTCCACCCTTCTCTTTCCAAACTCCTCCGCTGCCAGCAGCTTCCAGAAGCCTCATGTGTGGCACAGGCGCTGCCCTCTGCTGTAGGAAACCATGGTTTGGTGACTTGGGAGGGGGGGAAACGGGCACAGGCATCCTCCAGGGAGATGGAGCCAGGCCCTGAGACACTTCTGTTGCTGCCCTCCCAAGCCCCACTAAGTGCCTGTCACCAGAACTCGATTCCTTCTGCATCTCCTGCCGTGTTTGGTCATTCCTTGCTGCCTCTGGTCAAGGAGCAGCTTGTAGTTGCAGCATATGTAAGTGTTTGCAGGGTGAGGGAGGGCTGGGGGGGAAGGGGCCATCTCAACAGGTTTCGTTCTAAAATGTTTTTGTTTTGTTTTGTTCTTTTTTTTTTTGTTGTTTCGGGGTTTTTTTAAGTGAATGTATTTGATTGTTTAGAACTTTCCTGACCTTGTTTTTAAGTGGGTCCGTTTGGAAGCTGTTCCGCAGTGACCCGCTCCCACTGCTCTCTGGAGATACGATGTTCTTTTAATCCTACGATGATGTGTTTGTAGGGGAGGACTGTCCCCCCGCGGCATGCTGGTAATGCTCACTTGTACCAAGCCCTCTTGCACTAGAATCGTACGTTGGACTCTTCAAAAGGGCAGAGATGTGGGGTGGCTTCATTAACAAAAGGAAACTAAAGTGGGTTAACAGCAAGTGCTTGAGGAAGCCGCTGGCCCCAGGGAGCTCGGGGTGACCAGAAGACACAAGCCAAACTGAGCCAGCTGTGCTGTGGTGGGAGCAGGGCATTCAGCCTGCCTGGGCCACTTCTCTCCTCACCAGAGGTCATCAGCACTGGGGCCCCCAGGGGTGCGAGGAGCGGGCCCCGCGCCTGGCCCTCCAACGCTGCGATGCAGTCTTCTGAGGTATCAAGTGAGATGGTTATTATTATTTTTTTCAATAAAACATTGCACTGCTGCATTGTTCTCCATGAACAGACGTATTCTGTTACCTCGCCTGACGGCATCGCTTCTGTGTTGAGCTCCCACGTTACAAGTGACAGGACAAGAGGAACCGGCCTCAAGCTGCACCAGGGCAGGTTTAGATGGAGCTGAGGAACAATTCCTGCCCCAGAGGGTGCTCAGGCATTGGAACAGGCTGCCCAGGGCAGGGCTGCAGTCACCGTCCCTGCAAGTGTTCACACACCGTGGAGACGGGGCCTCAGTGCCATGGGTTAGGGCTGGCCTTGGCAGGGCTGGGAATGGCTGGACTGGATGGGCTTAAAGGGCTTTTCCAGCCTGGTTGATTCTGTGTTTCTGTTCTCTTTCCCTTTGTTTCTGGTGGGCACTATTGGCAGCTCTCCACTCCTGTGAGAAGCTCTGAGCTCTCTTGAGGGGACAGTGCGTGGTGTGGGATCTTATGCAGCTGTCTTAAGACTTTATGCTTTACAGCCATGGATGGCTCAGCCCCACAGAGCTTGGCCAAGGCATCATGACACTGATTTCTCTTTCCCCTGTGCCTGCACGTTCACATTTCAAGCACCCTGGGTAGCAGAATGGCTAAACCATTGATTACGTGGAACAGAGATGTGGAACACCCCAAAACGTGCTGTCGCATGGCCCCTGTCTCTGCAGTAACATCTACAGCTGCTGCTGCAGGCGTCAAAGGGTCCTTCCCATGCGTTAGGGCATTGTGTGCTCCTGTATGCTGCCCGAGGGGCTGCAGCTCCCACCGGGTACCAGCCGAGCCCCCCAGCACACGCTGTGCTGGCAGCATGTGGCAACGACACAGGCCCAGCCTGCTGCCTCCAGTGCCACCGTCCTCTGCACCCCTGCCTGCTCACTGGGATCATGCAGAAGGGACAAGCACTGTGCTGCTTCCATGGGCTCAGCCGCCGGGATTGTGGAGGTTTCCGGTGTGCAAATCACTGCTGCTGCTTTATTCTCACTGCAGAGGAAGGCACTGAAGGAAGTGCCCCCTGCCACCAAATACAGCATCTTTTAAAAGCAGTAGCTAGACAGGGAGAGCACCTGCAGAACGACTGGTGGGAGCTCCTGATCCCACTTAGACACTGCTTCACACTGGGATCTTTGTCGGGACACGTTTTTTCCTTCTGTTTCCCAGCCTTAAACACAATAGAGACATAATAATGTAAATGTAATAATGCTGGAGCAGCTCTGCTCTGGAGCCAGGCTGAGAGAGCTGGGCTGGGGCAGCCTGGACAAGAGAAGGCTCCTGAAGGGGAGACCTGAGAGCAGCTCCAGTGCCTGAAGGGGCTGCAGGAAACCTGGAGAGGGGCTTGGGACAAGGGATGTAGGGACAGGACAAGGGGAATGGCTTGAACCTGCCAAGGGGAGACTGAGATGAGCTCTTAGGCAGAAGCTCTTCCCTGTGAGGGTGCTGAGGCGCTGGCACAGGGTGCCCAGAGAAGCTGTGGCTGCCCCATCCCTGGCAGTGTTCAAGGCCAGGTTGGACACAGGGGCTTGGAGCAAGCTGCTCTAGTGGAAGGGGTCCCTGCCCGTGGCAGGGGTTGGAGCTGGGTGAGCTCTAAGCTCCCTCAGCCCCGCGCTGTGGCGGCCCCGCCCCCCCCCCCCCCAGGCCAATCAGCGCCGTCCCTGGCGCCGCGCGAGCCGCAACGTGGCACCCGCCCGGCGGCTCTCTCCGGCCCCGCCCCCGCCCGGCGGAAGGCGCGCGCGGCCCCTCCTCCTCCCCCCCCTCCCCCCTGCGTTGGTCGCGCCCGGGCGGCTGCGGCGGGGCGGGAGGGGGCGCGCGGCTCGGCCCGTACCACTGCGCGGGGGGAGGGGGGCGCGGCCGGATGCCGGCGGCGCGGCGGGCGCTGTGGCCGGGCTGCGAGCGGCGCAGGATGAAGGTGCTGGTGGCGGCGGCGGCGCTGGGCGCCGCGCTCCTGCTGCTGCTGCCCGCCGCGTCCCGCGCCGACGAGCGCAAGAAGGGCCCCAAGGTCACGGCCAAGGTCGGGGGAACGGGGGGAGCCGGGGCGCGGGCCTGGGGCGATGGGCGCGGGTCGGGCCGGGAGGGGGGGTGGGGGTCCGGGCTGGCTCCGCTGGTGCGGCCCTCACCGGCATCCGTGGCCGCGCCAAGGTGTTCTTCGACCTGCGGATCGGGGAGGAGGATGCGGGGCGCGTCGTCATCGGGCTCTTCGGCAAGACCGTGCCCAAGACGGTGGAGAACTTCGTGGCCCTGGCCACGGGCGAGGTGAGGCCGCGCGGCGGGGCGGGCCCGCGGCAGCGGCGGGGGGCTCCGGCCCGGCCCCGCGCCTCACTGCGCTTCCTCCCCCCCCCCCATCAGAAAGGGTTCGGGTTCAAGGGCAGCAAATTCCACCGCGTGATCAAGGACTTCATGATCCAGGGGGGGGACTTCACCCGCGGTGACGGCACTGGAGGTAACCGGGCCCGCGGTGCCCCGGTGGGAAGGGGTGGGCGCGGCGGTGGAATAGGGCTGGCCCCACAGCAGAGCTCGGAGCGTGGCTCCCTGCGGTGGCGGTGGTACTGAGCCCCCCTCTGGATGCACTCATTCACTCACGCGGGCTGTGCGCAGAGCCCCATCAGTCACCTGCGCCCTGACACACGTCCATGAGAGCAACGTGGCCTTTCCTGTTCCCCAATCCCTTAGGAAAAAGTATCTACGGGGACCGCTTCCCCGACGAGAACTTCAAGCTGAAGCACTACGGCCCTGGCTGGGTGAGCATGGCCAACGCCGGCAAGGACACCAACGGGTCCCAGTTCTTCATCACCACGGTGAAGACGCCGTGGCTGGATGGCAAGCACGTGGTGTTTGGCAAAGTGTTGGAGGGCATGGTAAGGGGTGATGGGTGGTAGAGGGGTGACTGATTCCCAGGGGGCGAGCAGGACCAGGCCGATGCTGGCTGGGGGCAGAGCACTGTGAAGTGGCTGGGAGGTGCCTTACGGGATGGGGATTGCACTGACCAGGCTCTGCCCATGTCCTGCGTTGTTCTCATGTCATGCCTCTGCTTTCCCCAGGACGTGGTGAGGAAGGTGGAGAGCACTAAGACAGACAGCCGGGACAAGCCCCTGAAGGACGTCACCATCGCTGACTGCGGCACCATCGAGGTGGAGAAGCCATTCGCCATTGCCAAAGAGTAACACACGGTCCTGGCTCTCCGGCGCGGCGAGGGGCCCGGCGCAAAGGGCTGCGGCCTGGGGCTGCCCTGCTCCCCCTCGTGTGTTCCCTGTGGTCCTGTGCGGGTGAGCAGGGGCAGAGCCACTTTGCTCTGGCTCCTTTCACCCTGCCGGCGGGCGGGCCGGGCCCGGGCTCCTTTCCATCACTTTTGTAAGAAGCACATGCACCAATAAACGTGACCAATGTGTTTTTTAAAGCGCTGCCTCTCCTGCTCCTGGAGGGCTGCAGCTTGCTCTCAGTCCCGCAGCCGAGGGCAGCCCCAGCCACCATCCCCTTCTTCCAGGTTTCATCAGGCTGAGCAGTTGGCCCTGGATTTGCCGTGCCGGAATGACAGAGCGCAGCCGGCATTTGCCAGTCACCCACAAGTGATTTATTGCTTCAATACCATGGGGTTTTCCCAGTGCCATTTGGGGTCCAAAGGCCCCTACCCCAACCCCAAAGCACTGGAGCAGAAGGCAGAAGTCCCAGAGAAGGCACATTGGATGGGGGTGGGTGGTCAGCTGTGGCTGCCACTGTGCTCCCTGGCTTCTCCCATCCTGCTTTCTTGCCCCATCACAGCAGGAAGGAGTTATTCCTGCAGTGGGGATGCTGCCACTGCCAGGGTCCTCACCCCTGCAGCCCCGGGTGCAGGGTGGGTGCTCAGGGGGCTGCCTGGCCAGGGGTGGTTCTAGGGGAGAGGTAGAGGCCCTGCAGCACCCCCCTGAGGATGGTGTCAGGGAGCGGCTCTGCAGGAAAAAGCAGGAGCTGGAGCCATGTCGCTGCGGGCTCCAGAAAAGGGAAAACACATTTTGGGGACCCAGCAGTGCCGCTTCCCGGGAGGGTTTGGGACCTGCTCCTTACGGGTGCGTGGAGGCTGCGCATAGGGATCGGTGCAGAAGCCAACAACAGGGCGCTGGGAGGGCGGGCGACTGGCACTGCTGTGGGAGAGGGAACATCAGCTCCCAGCAACCCGTCCGACTTCCACCTGCCTGTCCCAGCGTCCCCAAGCCCGGGTCTTGGAGCGCTTCACATGGGTGAGGGGATGATCCCAGCCCCATGCTGGGCTAACCCGGGTGCTGCCCGACAGCTCCGGGTGCTGCCTGGCTACTCACAGGGAGCTGCTGCCCTTGGGGTCCTGCTGGCAGCACCGCAGCTTCAGGAAGTCCAGCACGTCCTGGGGCAGCTCCGCGTTGTGGTACAGGACACCCTGAGGTGCACCCAGGGTCAGCACCCGACAGAGCCCAGCACACCCCAAAAGCCACCCTCGGCCGGCGCCTCACCCGGATGTAAAGCTCCAGGCCCTGCCGGCGCTGCTCCAGCACTTTGGGCATCCAGTTGGGGACGTGGCGTGGGGGGAAGTCAGGGACCTTGCAGGTCTTCTTGATCTAGGGCAGAGCATGGTTTGGGGGGGGGGAGGCACATCACGGCGGCAGCACGGCATGTGGAGGATGGGGCTGCGCCTCCCTGCCCGGGGAGCCGGTGTCCTCCTGTCCCCTCCCTGTGTCCCTGCTGGGCTCTCACCCGCTTGTGCAGCGCCTGGAACTCGCTGTAACGCTTCACAACCGTGTGCCGCCGGCCATTGCACAGCACCTCCACCCGGAACACCTGCGGCGCGGGACAGCCTTCCTCAGCATCCTCACGCTCATCAGCCTCATCCTCATCCCCATCACCTTCATCAATCATCCTCTCCACATCCCCATTATCTGCATCAACCATCCTCATCATCCCCATTATCCTCATCTCCATCAACCTCATCATCCTCACCGTCCTCCAAGGGGAGGCAGGGGCCTCCAACTCACACACTCTTGGGAACCTCCACTCTCCCCCCTGTCCAGGACAGGCAGCCCCCTAACTTCTGGCATAGGCAGGGATCCCCTGGGCCCAATGCAGACCACAGGAGCAGACGGACCCCCCAAAGCGGGGGCAGAAACCTCCAGCCCTTTGGTTAGCTGTGGACATCCCCCCTGCCAGGGCAGCCGGGACCCCAGGGACAAACAGGGACCTTCAACCCCCTTGGGGCTTGCGGGGACAGCAGGGAGGGGACACGGGCACCTCAACCCTGGGGCAGAGGGGGACAGCTCCCCCTTTCCAGGGCAGGTCAGGACCCCCTGGGGACAGTCAGGGCCCTCCAATCCCATTTACATCCCCACCTCCCCAAAGTGACCCTGCACCCCCTGCAGGGGGGGGCCACCCCAGGCAGGGACCCCTGGGGACACACAGTGACCTTCACCTCAATGCGCCATCGGGACCCCCAGGCCAAGACACACAACAACACCGTCCAGGGAGACTTCAGCAGGACACCCCCTCCCCAGCCCCCCATGCAGGGACCCCCTGGGGGCTCTCAGGGCAGGTGGGGACCCCCGGGACAGAAACAACCTTTTTCTTAAGGGGAAGTGGGCTCCAGCCCCCAGGGCAGGGGGCACCCCCAGGGACATCCACACTGTGCCCCTCCCTGGCTCTCCAGCCCCTGGGACAAGTGGGGTGTCCCCACCTCCCCAGGAGGGACGCCCCAGCCCGCAGGGGAGGGTAGGGAGGTATCTGGGGACCTCCAACCCCTGGGGTACAGGGGGAGGCTCCCCCACCCATCCCTGGGGCCAGGCAGGAGCACCCAGGGGATCCCCCAGGGCAGGGGCGACCCCCCCCTTCAGAGACAGAGGGTCCCCAGGCAGGGGTCCCCCCGGGACAGGCCCCCCCCCCTTCCCGAGGCCCCATGGGCACAGCCGGTGACACCCCCATGTGGCCAGAGAGGACACCCCAAAAACTTCAGAGGTAGAAACTGCCCTGGGGGCACTTGGGCCCCTGCACCCCCGGGGGTCAGAGGGACGTGGCACAGCCCCCCGTGGGGCGGGGGGGGTACCCGGCGGCAGAAGGGGATCCCCCCCTTAGACACAAACCCCCTGAGGCCAGAGGAAACCCCGGGCCAGACCCCCCTCCCCCCCCCATAAAGGCAGAGGAACTGCCCCAGCTGCCACTGCACACCCCAATAGCAGTGGCGACACTTGGGGCTCACAAGGAGCCCCCGGCAGAGGAACAGCCCCACTCCCAAGGCAGTGGGCGCCCCCTCAGTGGCAGGGACCCCCGGAGACCTCCAACCCCTGAGGCGGGGGGGGCATCCCGGGACAACCCCCCCGGGCCAGGGCCCCCCACCTGCCAACGGTGGAGGGGCTGTGCCCCCGCTGCAGGGACCCCCCCGCCCGGGGCACCTCTGGGGACCTCCGACCCCCAACACCCCCCGGGCAGGTGGGAACCCCCTCTCCAGACCCGCCCCCCCCCTCCTTCCCCCACAGCCCGCGGGCGCCCCTCACCGTGTGCGCCCTGTCGGGGCTGCGCGCTGCCGCCTGCGCCTCTGCCGCGGGGATGGACACGGCGATCATGGCCCCGCCCGGGGCCACGGGGGGACCCCGCACCCGGCCGAGCTCCGACCCCTGCGGGGCGCGGGGGCAGCCGGAGCCTGGCGGCGCCGCGGGGAGCCGGAGCTGCAGGGCAAGGGGAAAGGAAAGTGGGAAGTCCGCGGGAGCCGGCTCCCGCCCGTGACAGCAGCGGAGGGGGCACCGGGTCCGCTTTGGGGAGGGGGGAAGGAGCCGGGGCAGCCCCCACACCTCGCAGCTGCCGCTCGGGACCAGGCTCCCCCCCGGCCCCCAGCGCAGCCCCGCTGAGCTCAGACCTAAAAACAGCCCCGGCCGCGGCGGGGCCAAAGCCGCAGCAGGAGCCGCGGTAGCGCCCAAGGTCACAACACGGCGGGAGCATCCCCGCCTCCCGCGGCACCGTTACGGCTCCCGGGCACGGCCGCAACCACCCGGAGCCGGTGTGCCCTGATAGAAGTTTTATTACAGAAGTTAACAGCGCTGCAGGGTAAGATAATCATTAGAGTCCTAACCCAGCCTGAAAAATATACATTTCACATAGAATGTTCCACCCCCGCTGCAGGTCTGGTCTCAAAGCAGGAAACCGGGGTCTCTTCAGTAAGAAAATATATGTTGCTAAATGAAAAATATACAGTTAGAAGAGTTACTGGCTCGCACGCTGCTTGTCCAGGGGTTAAACCTCTACCAGCTCCAGAGTGTTGAACGAGGATTTGTTCACGTGTAAAAGAGGAAGAGGTATAGTGTATATAAAAAAAAAAAACAACAAAAAAACCAAAAAAAAGGCAAATCCCAGGCTTGCTCTTGTGCTCCTGTTAGGAAATGGCCTTGGCCTCGGGGAGGAACGCTTCCCAGTACTTCACCAGCTGCAAGAGGAGAGACAGCACAGTCAGGAGCCTGCAGGGTTTTGCCAGCACAGCTCAAGTTGAGAGAGAGCTGAGAAGCACGGGGTGGGGGAATAGAAGCCCCTCCACAGGGCACAGCCTCCCCAGAGGCATCCAGGGGGGTGCAAGGCTTGTATCTGCCCCTGCTCCAGCCCATGGGGGCTCATCCCTCCCCTCACCCAGGGACAGGATGCACCCGCAGTGGGGTTCACACTGAGCTGAGCTTCAAGAGGTAAAACCCACTCACCTGCTGCTGAGAGTTTAGTAACGTCTCAAGGTATTTTGTGACGTGGTTTCTGAAGTCCTTGGATTTCTCTTTCTGCAAGAGACAGGCACAAGGAGTCAGCGCAAGGCCAAATGCATCACCAAACAAACCCCTCCAGCTTCTGAGGGGGAAGGAGAAACCACCAGGGTTTCCCTGTTCCTCCTGGGGCACCACAGAGACCAGCACAAGAGCTTGAGAAGTCAAGCATGAAGCTCCTCTCCGGTCACAGCCTCTTGGCTCAGGGGCTCTCTGCGCACCCACCTTCATTTCAAAGGGTCTGCTTCTCACACAGAAACCTCCCCGTGGCCAAACGCCACCAGCCCTGCCCGGAGCAGCGATGCCACAACCGGGATGTGGCCAGATTTACAGACGCTGCCAACCGCTGCGCTGGGAGCAGGGTCAGGAGCCCAGGGACCCTCGCCTCATGTTCCCAGCCAAGGCACACCAAGGCCAGGCAGGTGGAGGGCTGCAGGCTGAGAGCAGGGGCCAAACCTACCTCAAACCGTATCACTTCCTTGCGGATGACGGCAGAAATCCGTTCGAAGTCCCTTTCGTACTGTGTGACACGAGACTCCCACTGCAGAGAGAGGAAGCATGCGGCCGTCTGCAGGGCAGGGGACGTGAAGAACCTCTCGCTGCCCTCTCTAAGCAGTTCTGTACTCATGACTGTGAGAGAGGCTCTGCCAGAGCAAAGCTCGGCGTTCCT